ATTCAACAACATAATTCTCACATCAACGGTCATCTTTCCAGCTCGCTAAAGAAACAAATTAATATAGTAGCCTTCCTCCGACGACTAGGCCTTATTTTGGCAAAAACATCTATGTTGCTCTTACAACTCATGCCATGCTTTAAGAATCACTCGTACTATTTACATCTCAATTAACCGAAGCAAAAGCAAGATATTGTCGGCAGCAAATTTTTATGATCTTTCAATTATATCCTTTTCCTTCGCATCCATGGGTTACATCTTGATGTCACTACATCCTCCATTTTTGAAAAGTTTTAGCATCAATCTTAACTCTTGGGTGCCATTTTCGAATAACTCCACTAATGTCATTCATTGCATTAATACTAGTATACGGTACGTGAGTTGCATGTTGAAGTATTTATTCCGGTGATACTCGTGCCAAAAATATTTTTAAAGTGTGATATTCAAAACAATCAATTAATGAATGGAATCTATTGAGTATCACTTGAGTTTCTTAGTCTATTTAATTGAGTATCAACTATTATCTGATAATCTAATACTAATCTTTTGATTGGGAATTGAAAAAAAAAACACCTTCAAAATCTAAGCTAACTTAATATGTGTAATAGTTTTTATATGTCCTAATACCATATTAGTTTGAAAACGAACTTTATTTTTTAATTATTTTACATGACTTCGAATGGCTAACTTTTGTAAACTTTAATCCTAATTACATAATGGCATTTGTATCTCTATGTCCACATTAAAGCGTACACATAAACTATGTTGATACATTTTCTTATGTTCAAAGATATTAGGTAGACACTAACAAATTCAAATATTAGAGTAGAGGTGCTTTATTTTGTTCCACTGTTGATCAATATCTAAGTTCGTCCAAAAATACTCCTGCTGTGCGCACGTAGATCGCTGGTTAACATCATGATTAGGTGACATCTATATCTGCAGGACAACTAATGACTATGACATCTTCCCAAGTGCAAGTGCAGCAGCAGCCGGCCTGAAGCAGAATTGTAGATTATTTCCAAAAGTAATGCAGACAAGGTCATTGATAAATTAAACCAAGAAGAAAAGTGGCCTTACAACAATGACAATATGTCAATATTGAACCCTTTTTTTATATATTATCAGTTTGCAACCTAACAATTTTTTTATTACTGTAATCAGACTATTGTCAAGCAATTATTCTGATTGAAAGAGACGTTGCACCTGCTCTCAATTTTAATTTCATTGGTTAATGTGAAAGTTTCCTTGAAAGCTTGTATCCGGACCAGATTTCAGCTTAGATGCCTTGATCTCAATAGTTGTTTAGCATGCGCATTTCCTTTCAGACTCCCCATTTTCGTAAAGGATTCAAAATTGTATCCAAGATTGTTAGCCTATGAATGAGTACTTCCATTGAAAGATGCCAGGGGACAAATGTTCACGTAACAAGATCCATTTCAAATCACCGTTTATTTAGAAAATGCCAAAGAGAAGGACAAGAACTATTTTGAACCAGAATTAACTCAAGCAATTATCCCACCAAAATCAAACGTTTAATGTGCAACAAAAGTACAGTTTGGGTGCCCCAATATTTAGTCCATCTAATATTTCGATTAAAACAAAATTTGTCTTCAACGCAATTTAAGACAACTAACGAAAAATCACAATAAGTAATAGTCAAAATCAAATTGATGTACCTCAACAATTTTGATAATCTATATTTTTGTTTAAGTACACCAATTGCATGGGTATGTTGTTAATACCTCACAAATCACTTATTATTCAACCAAGGATGGAACAGGGGGGCTGCGGAGGAGCAGCCCCTTCGCTCCCCCCCCCCCCCCCCATAACCCCTAAAACTTTCGGAATAGTCCTAAAGGGAGTAAGACATTTTATCTAAGATAGATTAATCTCCTCCCCTCCCCCCCCTCCCAACATGCATATCTATTTCTAGTTCCTCTTAATTACTCTTCATACATTTATCTATTTCTTGTCCCCCTTAATTACTCTTTTTATAAGACTCTTATAGCAAACAAACAAACTCTTATTTCCTTCTCGTAATAGTGTAGCATTAGTACAAATGGGCTTATAAATGAATCGAATCAAACTTTTGATCTATTGGGCTCGATTCAAAATATTAAATAAATTCAAATTCGAACTCGAATCCTATATGAGCTCTAAATTTGAGATCAAGTTATGTTACAGACTCGATATTATATTATTTCCTCCTCTTATTATATTGTTTGAACTCGAACTCAAATTCAAACTTGCCAAAAATCCACCCTCAAATCGAGCCCTTAATGTGTTGAGTTCAAACTATTTGTTAAATGCTCAATTCATCCATAGCTTACAACGAAAAAATAACTACTAAAAACACACTACATGAAAGTAAATAAAGGAAATAAAAGGTAACAGAATTCACTTGAATTAAGAATGTACGAGGATTAGTTAAAAAAATACAAAGTCACATCTTTTTATCTAGCTTCTCAAGGATCGACTCTTTCTAAGCTCCATTATTATGCTTCAAGTATCAACTGTTCTCAAACTCCAGTTTTGCAAGGCAAGTTTTTATTTTTATTTCCTTCAAACTTTTTTGTATTATATTTTAAATTGTATTATTGATTTTGAAATAGTTATTTTTATTTTGAGTTTGTTGTTTTAGAACTACGTACGTAATGATTATTGCTTCTATTAATATAAGAAAAAAAATAAACAAAGCCAGTAATATGAATTATTGATCTATTAGTTTACTAGGTAGTTATTTCTCGCATTGATAGGAAATAGAATGGTAGGGAATCCAAATTTTGTAGTTTGGTTTATACTTTGTCTTTTATTACTGAAATTCTTAATTTTCATTTTAAATTTACCATGCTTTATATGCTATAATATGTGTTATTACTATATGTTGGATTTTTCGCCTCCCCTAAACTAAAGTTTTTAGTTCTACCACTGTATTCAACAATATCCATTTAACTCTTTGGTAGCATCATGTAAAGTGGAAAAATTGATCCCCTAAAAAAAAGTATCTCCAAGCATTAGTTAATATATAAGCACAACAAGTGTCTAATCACTTTACATAAAATTAATAGGGGATTTTGTGGCCAAATTCGAAGCCACAAGGGGAATAATTCTATATTTTTCACATATTCCACGTTTCTAGCTAGTGTGCATATAGGCTGATCACCGTGACTATAGTTGCTTTTTGTCTATTTTTTGCTTTACGTAAAATCATAGCACTACAACAAAAATGATCTTTAACGGTATTTAAAAGTGTCAGTATAGATAATCTAATCTGACACTTTACCTTTCCTCACACCTCAGACGAGTGTCGTCGGCTCGTAGCATTCAAATGTGTCAGGAAGACTATGCTGTTATAGCATCTCATCTTTCAACAAAAATCCCTTTTCTTAATAATCGAAAGTGTTAGGATAGCTATAATCAGGAACAAGTAGGAGTTTTTTTAACTGAGCTATGCTGACACTTTTAACTGTCAGGAATTTTTTTTTCTTTTTTTTTTTTGATATAGAAGCAACCTACAGGTAGTGCTCCCTGCTATACATTCCGTCAATCAGAAACCCAAAGGACTTGTAAAATTATCCCAAAGAATAGAATGCATATAGTAATCTAAAAGCAAAAGTCAATGCTCAAATATAATTTGTTGAACTAAAAGTCAGTAACAAGTACTAACATAGCAAATCCCTAACAAGTACAAACTTGAAAGATTCTCTTGTGCACAAACTAAAAGATTCTCATGTGCACAAACTTGAAAGATTCTCTTGTGCACAAACTAATAAATAATGCAACATAAACCACAATTTCTGGGTATCATAAAGCCAGTTATGCTCAAATTGTATATTCGATCTTCTGCAACCGCAATCTCATCCTCCCTGCAATTCAGTTGGGACATGGTAAGCTGCAAAAATTCAACCCCAAGTTAAACAGGTTTCTCTATCAAATGATTGCCAAGATACTTACATGCATGCTAGCTCTGTTTTATGCAACCTCAAACACCTATTCATACAACGTATCATTAATGCACAACAAACAACAATTCTCCAAACCTCCCCCTTTTTTCCACATACAATAATTTGTGCATTCGAATTTGTCTGATTCTAATCTCTCTACATAGCTAGCAGTTGCCATGCTACTAAAGAAAAACTTCAATCCAAGAGCATTAAAGACTGCCTTGTGATAGCTTACTAGCTGTTCACTTTTCTTTTCAAGTCATTGCCAGACGATCACATGGCCTTGTATCATGCATTCTGAAAATGAAATCTTACTTTAGTTTCATTTTGTTCTTCTTGCTTAAATACTAGCTATCTATTGTGACAAAACCAAACACATTCAACTGATATGCAACATGTCGTCTAGATATAAGATCCAAATGCTAGATATATTCCACATATGTAATTCGTTTTATTTTTGTAACAAATTATCCGATCCATGTTTGACTTAAAACAAACATACCCCAGCTGGAGAAATGTGTCCGAATTGTTGAGGTCCTGAGGACAACTTCCGGCTTGGTCGCTTAAGCGGGTGACTGACTCAGATGAAAGCCCTTGTTCCAGCAGAGGTATTTGGTCTTCCGATGAGCCTGCTACGTGCAATTATCAGTCAGAAAGGCAAAAGATTGCAGCATGCTCATGTAGAGGAGCGAAACAAAGAAATAAAGGAAAAGGGAAACTATCACGTCATGCACTTTCTATCTCAACTTCACATTCTCTTCCTTTAATAATGCTTCCTACAATTCATTTTACGAAGATAAGTTAGCAACCAAGAACACACATTTAAATGCAGTCAACCAAATGACATTCCATTGGAATTTTTAAGTAAATTGCTCCTAAAGCATTATTGTTGGTTACAAATGATCTTCAATATTATGAAAGCCCAATAACACTTTTTTATCTCCAGATTCTCAAATTGAAGATTTCCCATTTTGTTATGTGTTGAAATATAGAATAATAGAAAATGATTGATAGATAACATAATAGAAACAGCTGATAAGGGTAATTTGTCACTAGCCTTTTTCTTGAGAATACCAATTTCTTCATGAATTTGTCACCCTGAAATCCAAAAAACATAGTACGTCAACACTATGCAACAATTGAAAGACCTTGAAAGAAGACATAACATGACAAGAACCTTGTTTTTGGCAATACGGCTTAACCCTGCTTCAACCAATTTTTCGAGTTTAACCAAGTCTTCCATGCTCAGTCCTACTAGCTCTTCACCTTTGAGATGTGCCTGTTACACGTGGGATGGTATCATAAGTATCACAAAATAACGAACCATCCTCTACAAGATATCTGATGGTAGAATATTGTACCTCAGTTCTGCGGTTTTCTCCTTGATTTCCTCAGAAAGCATGGCATGGGTATGATTCTCATGTATAAACACACAAAATTTCTCTTTCAACACAAATTGGAGTGAATTAATAAAAGATAGAATAAGATTCACAGTAGTCATATCATAGCAGTAATTATTTACTCTCATCACTCTCCAATCACTCTCATCTCTCTGTTCGCTTCCTTACAAATTTCCTTCTTTTTTCATTCGAACCTTCTGACAAACAGGTAGTGAGTATGAAAAGTTTTGAAATTTCTTTTTCATCAATTCCTTATACGGCCTGAGCTTGAATTTTAAATATAAAACTCTACTCAAACCTATGATCAATTCCAACCACTTAAAATCGATTAACAAGATGAAAGTAAAGCATAACCGACATGATTACAGACAGAGAAGAAAAAAATACAATTAAGGGAGAAAAAAGGTATAAGAGTGCGGGAAACTTTACAGTGATGATTTCCGCTATAGTGGCTGGACTCCAGTGAGACGATGGCAGCAAACTTCGCCTACTTTACTCCTCGGCACGCTCAACCTGAATATCTAGTCAGTAAGGAAAAACATGGGGATGGGTTTCAGAGGAAAGAAGAAAAAGGAAAGAGCACGAGTATCTGTTTTCTTATTCTCTTTGTCCTAGCAAAGAGAGCGAAGGCTTATTGGTGCAGGTGTCGTGGTTGACGACGAGGGCAGAGAAGCGGCCGAGTTAGCATCTGAAAATGAGGGAGTGGGATGGCGAAGGCGGAAGATGGAAGAACCAAAATGGGGGAGTTTTAAGAGATAGTTTGCCGAGAAAGAGAGTTTGTGCGAGAGATGAGAAGAACCAAAATTTTGCTGGCCCATAAAATGAAACTTTTTAGATTTCACTAAGTGTTTTGGCAAAAGGATCTTTCGCCAAAATCAAATGACATCGTTTTATGTTTAATTTTTTTTTGGTGTATCTCACATTTTCTCAAGTGTCATGATAGGAAATCTAAAGACACATTATTATTTTTATATTAGATAAAATAAAAAAATTAAACTATATATTATTAAATTGATAATAAGTGTCATGATAGAAGTGCTATAATGACAAAATTCAACAAGTGTCCTTATAGGCGTGTCAAAAAAGGTTATTTTTCTTGTAGTGTAGATAGGTTAATTAGATATTTTAAACAATAGGAGGATTGTGTGACAAAATGCAAAATTATGAAAGATAAAGTTATTTACTCCATTCGTGTACATCTAGTCTATTATTAAGAGAAGGAAGAAGCTGAGGATTTTGCAATCACTCCTTACAAAACCTACGCGTTCTATCATCTTTCTGCTTCACTACACCAAATCCCGTTTGGTATAGTACTAAAATCTTGATTTAACTCCTATACAAACTTGTGTTTAGTTTAGCTATCTTGAAATTGATGACCGGTTTTACATCCTATGCAATAACATTTTGTTGCCTTGTGGAAAATAGGTCATACTGCTTTTATTTTATTTGAATGCATTTATTTTATTTGAGTACCTTTATAGTTTATATCTTTGTTGTCCCATTACCAATGAAGAAGACAAATTGTCACAAGTGCTGGCGCTAGCAGCGCCCGGCTGTCGGTTATATTCAAAAGTTGTGGAGACAAAAGATCATTAAGAGATCACGCCATTAAAATTGGTATCAGAAACAATGACAATATTATTCTTTATATATATATATATATATATATATAATTTCCAGGCAAACATACAAGTTGAAGAAATGAAATTCTAAATGTAAACTGACATGGAACGCTACTGACTAATGGCAAATAAGATTTCATGTTAATATATAGTGAGATATAGAAGTGACAAAGTATATATATGGTGGATAAATAGTTTTAGTTAAATGGATAGTGGATCAAATTGATCCAATCCAATTAAAACCATTTAATAAATGGATCTAAATGGATGTCATTTAAATGGATAGTGTAAAACCATGATCCATCCAATTATCCATTTACTTTCCCAAATCCTAAATTTAAGATGGAAATGTTTTTTTCCAAAAAGATATAGATCCCCAAAATTCTATACTCAAATCACCTAAAAACCTTTTGGTAATAACAAATACTTGTGCTATTACTCTATTTCATTCTTCATAAAAGCAGTTTTAAATTATTTTAGTTCTAAGAAAATGTAACTCCTATGGTCAATTTAACCTTAAATCAGTACTTAAAGTATCATCTTGTAAAGTAATGAATAATTAATAACCTGGCTACATTATTATAACTTTTGGGTGAATTGAATATAGCTTTACAATGGAAAGAAGTCTACTTTTTGACAGGTTGTCGAGCCTGCGCAATAATAAATACCTGTTTAAACAAAATATAATTTCTGTAGATAGTGATAAGCAGGGTCGAATTCACAGGAACTAGGAGTAATTCATTTCTGCCAAAGTTCAAGTTATGGGGAGATTTTATAGAAATTAATAATAAGCTATGCTAATCGAATATTGCAATTAAATAAAATTAAATGACAAATAGTAAAAACTCAAATAGTATTGGACAGGCTCTAGTCAAGAAGCAATTTCAGAAATGGTTCTCCTAATTGATAATCGATGCAAAAATAATTCTACATATAAACTAATAAACAAGTTAAAATTGTCAAACAAGTGATGACAATCAATTTCTCCTTAATTATTGATAGTTAAGGTACGACCATAGCTATTGCCCTAATTGCAAAGTAACCCTAGGTACGACCGTAGAATTCAATTTCGCAATTGTTTTAAGATTTAGAGAAATCCCGTTCTAACCAAACAAGGGTCGTAACGGTCCCCGTTGATAGACATTTCCTTCCAAATATCATGATAGTGAGAGAAAAATGGTTCTATGTAGTCACAAGTACTCTCAACGTACTCCCTGATCTCAACATATTCCCGAGTAATGAATCCAAATGCCAAATTGAACTGAGTAATAGGAAAATTGAACTCTTGACCTATTAGATGAAAATGAATCACATTTGGGGTATCGACAGTATACCCCGTAGGCAAGTCAAATTCAAAGTAGAGTAAAACTCCCTAACTAGTTCGACAAAGACGGGATAGAAAATATTAAGATAAGGTCGCCAACCAATGGCGGTAAATATCCGCTCAACCTCTTCCCTTATATCCAGTGCACCCATGACAAGTTTTTCACAACATTTACAGGAGATGATGCACCACTCGGAGCACACAGCATATCGCTGCTTATCAGCGGCCCTAGTGAAGTTTAGATGACCCCCAAAGTGAGAGGCTGTAGCAACATGGACACCCTTACCCCAACCTAGACGTATTCGCACACCTAAAGAGGAAGGTTGGTTGGTAGGTTCATTCACAAGAATGGTGGGTTAGGGTGGAGTAGGTTGAGTGTTAGGGTTTCTAGATGTGGAGGTGGACCTCGGCCTAACCATTGTCTCCAACTATCAACCCAGTCAACAAAAGAAAGCCAGCAAATATACGAACCCAGTAAAACAGATATAGCAACTATGGCTATTGCAACAATCAATTGAACAAGTGTCGTTGTCTCTCAATTGAACAGTTAGATGCACATATGAGCCAACAAAAGCTCAACAACTACCCACATAAGTCAGCAATTGAATCAATATTCAGATAACTTTCAGCAATTCAATTCGACTCAATCAAGTAATAATGCAGCAGAGGAATCCTCAAGTGAGTCCAACAATCAATCCCTGCAATTGATGCTCTAAACAATCAGTTAAGAGTTGAAAAGGGTGAATACCTCCACACCGACGACTAATAGAAGTGATATGCGACGAGGGGAGTAGCGGGTTGGGAGAAATGGGACGCCGGCTTGTGTCTTGATCCGGATGGCGGCGACGGCAACTCCCAACCAAATGGGTCCCGTGAAGCACGAGGATGGCACGCGGCTTGGTGAGGGGGGTGGTGTGGAGCTATGGTGGCATGCAGTGGTGGCAGTGACGTGACAGAGGCGAGGGAGAGGTGTTGTGCGGGTAGCTGTTGACGTCGCGAGCGATGAGGCAGTCAGCTGGGACGGCGACCTGGTTCGGGAGTCAGTGGCACAGCAGGCGCTGCGAGTCACGTAGCGACAGTGGCGGCTGTGGGTCGAGGGAGATTGAGAGTTGCAGCGTGCGTTGGTGTGTGCAGGATGGTGGCCCAAGGCGACGAGTGAGGTGAGCGGCAGGGGAGAGAGAGAAACGGCGGCGTGATGGTGGCGGACACGAGGAGGACGGTTGCGGCTTCGTGGGTTTCGGCCAAGAGGGAACCAAAAGAAATAGGGGAGAAAGAAAAGAAGAAAAGAGAAAGAAAGAAAAAGAAAGGAAGAAGAAAAAGAAAAGGAAGGTTGCGATTTTTTTTTGTAATTTTAAATTCAAATTTTAAAATTGAACTTTAAAAATTTAACCGTAAACGAAAATTTTTCTTAATATTTGTTATTTTTTAAAAATTTTTAAAATTTTTTTAAAATACTTACCTTTCTCTCGAACATGACGTGGACACGTCAAGAAGGCAAGAACCCTTCTGATGAATGTCCGTTGAGTTCAAAGTTACCACGTGCCAGGTTGACGCGGGTGCGCCATAAGGGTGGAAACCCTTCAGATGGGGAGTTTGGAAATTGTTCATTGCCATGCACCCTAGTAACACGGGCGCGTTATGACGGCAAGAACCCTTCTGATGAAGAGTTGTTGAATTAAAAGTTAATAGATTTGAGTCTATTAAATGTTCCAAGTCAATACTTAAAAAAAAATGAAAGAGCGAAATAGACCACAAAATATTAAAAGGCTTACAAAAAAAAGGGAAAACATACCCGTCACCTTTTTTGTTGTTTCCTAAGGGCAAAGTAGGAGAATTCAAGTAAATAAACAAATATTTTTGGTACCAAAAAGTTTGGATGGGGTTGACTTTAATCAACACCGTGGGTTAGGGCATGCTTCCGACACTGTGGATTGTTTACAGGAATTTTTACAGATTGACCACCAACGCAGCCTTAAAGGTATGTGTTGTCTATCAACACATCCTTATATTAGCAATTAGATTTGAACATCCGATCTTTTGTAAGGAAGAGACCAAAATTTGCTAGTCTATACGCCAAAGGTACACAATAAAGATACAAAAATTAGGGATTAGTATAAAGTTCTAGCATTCTTTTTATCTTCTAAATTGTGGCATAGAGAATTTACAAAGAATGAGGGATTGATGTCATATTGAAACTATTTAGGGTTTATTTGATAATTCAATTCAACACTTAAATTTAATCTTTTAAGTTACTGATACTTTAGCATAGAGAATTTACAACTTTTGTGGGACAAAATAAAATTAGCTTACATTCTTTGTGTTGTGTCCTAAGTGCATGTAACCGAAGAGCCAAAACAAAGAATGAGGGATAGATGTCATATTGAAACCACTTAATCATCATGCTTTCAAACACATTCTAATTCAGGTTTTGTATATTTTTAAGGCTTATTTAACATAAGCCCACATGAAAGACACTGATTCTAAAGGTGAAATGAGTTGGTAACTAGTAATGTACGTATTTAATGACAGATTGGTCATGGAATTTGGAAGGCAAAAAAATCAAGCAACATAATATGAGTTGACGAGATCACATAAAAGCTATTAAGCTAAATTAAATGAGACAATAATAGATATTAACCTTAATATGCATGGTTCCTTGGTGAGACTACATCGAAGGTTCTACAAGTTCGACGTTTGGCTCTTTATTGCCGGAGGCAACCCTGAAAGAAGGACAAAATAAATGGCTCTTTTGTAAAAGACATTCCAAAAAAAAAAAACATTGACTGCATATATGTCTTGAGCAAAGAATAAGTCTGCCTAGTTATTAAGTTTAAAACTACCAAAATTTTTGTCCCAAGTTGACTACATAAGAGAGCCCCAAATTTACAAAATTATATTAAATAGGCAGACTTGTATATTTAATTGATACAAGATTGGGAATGCAAAAAATCTTAGATGACCAGAACTGCGTATTTGGAGCTAGCTAGTGTCTTCACTAACGATTTCTTACAATGCAATAGAGAGAGTACAACTTCTTTTTTTTTTTAAAGCGGGCCTGCAGGCCAACTTTACATGTATTTCTTAATTTATATGACAATCAGTCCCGGTCAATTGTAATGGATAAAAATAAGACGAGCAATTCATAGCTTTTTTAAGTCATAATTCAGAATATCATAGAAATGGTGACAGAAATGTCTAAAAGTTTTGTCATTCACTGCCTTGTTTTCCTTAATAATTCCATCATCATACTCAAGTTCGTTTCCTGATAGCTTCATGCATTGCCTTTCTGTCAATAACTTCTCATCAAATATCTCAGTGCTGAATGTTCTTTATCTCCCCAACAACTGTTCTTATTTACCCATCGTGAAATCTTCAATCCAAAATCCTAGGTTCTCTGTATCAAGCACAAAAGCAAAACCTTTGACAATAATCATTCCTCTAGAATACTCTCACATTCAAGCAACAGTCATATGTTGCAAACGAGATGGAGTACAAATGAGGATTCGAAGTGGCGGCCATGATTTCGAGGGCACATCCTATAAGTCTGAATTTCCATTCATCATACTTGATCGAAATCTTAGGTCAATTAGCATTGATATTGAAGGAAATAGTGCTTGGGTTGAGTCTGGTGTAACAATCGGCGAATTGCAGTATTCCATTGCTGAGAAAAGTTGTGCCCATGCCTTTCCTACTGGGAACTACCCAGGCGTTGGTGCTGGTGGACATTTCAGTGGTGGTGGTGTAGGTAACCTGATTAGAAAGTATGGACTAGCTGCTGATAATGTCATTGATGCAATCATGGTTAATGTAAATGGTCGAATTCTTGACTGGGAATCGATAAGAATTAATCTTTTTTGGGCCATTAGAGGAGGTGAAGGAGCAAGTTTTGGGGTTATCCTTGCGTGGAATATCAAGCTCGTGCATGTTCCACCTGTAGTCACTATTTTCCAAATATCCAAGACTTATGAGCAAGGCGCCGTAGATCTTATCGACAAATGGCAGGGCATAGCACACAAGCTAAGTGAAGATCTGCTGATTTTCATAACCGTATCATCTGGAAATGGAACTCCAACAAAAGCAATGTTTCAGTCATTATTCCTTGGCAAAGTCGATCAGCTTCTTAAAGTGATGGAGAAAAGCTTCCCTGAAATGCGATTAAGAAAAGAAGATTGCTTTGAGATGAGTTGGATTGAATCCGTATCCCATTTTCCTAAGTATCAAAGAGGGGAAACTATAGAAGCCCTTAAGAATAGGATACAGCCAGTACCTAATTATCCCTTCAAAAGCAAGTCAGACTTAATTCATAAACCTCTACCTTATAAAGCAATAGACGAGATGTGGAAATGGTGTTCAGAAGTAGACTTTTCTACAATTATAATCTTTCATCCTTATGGTGGGATTATGAACAAAATATCAGACTCAGAAACTCCATTTCCATACAGGAAAGGTGTGATTTATGAACTCCTATATGTAGTGACCTAGAAGGACGATAATTCTAGTGGATCTTCACAAAAGTACATGAAATGGATAGAAGGGCTATTCGAGTCCATGACTTCTCACGTTTTAAAAGAACCAAGAGGTGCTATTGTGAATATCAAAGATCTTGATATAGGTTCAAATGATGTTTATGGGATTGCTTACTTTGAAGCTAAGGTATTGGGATCAATGTACTTCAAGAATAACTTTGAGAGGCTGACACTTATTAAAGGTGCAGTTTATCCAGACAATTTTTTCTACCATGAGCAAAGCATTCCTCCTCTTGTTTCCCATGCAAAATGAAGACATGAAAAAGAAAACTAGATGTTTCCCCAATGAAGCTCTTTCTGAAGTGTAATAAAACATCATGTTTATCAATTAGAAATGTAATTAAAGACATTTCCTTAAAGGTATATGTTAGGAAATTGATTTAATTTATTTTAGGTAGGTTTCTCATTTTGTGTATAAGTAACTAGTTTTCTAATGGTTTAGTTACTTGGATTAGTTGTCCAGTTATTCCTATTTGTATGAGTTTAAAAATTAGAAATTATTTCTTATTCCATATTTGATATTTTTTTCTCAAACGTTAGATGTCATATTATATATACTCACTTGATAATACAAGGGCTTAATTACAAAAAAAAGTCTCAGCCTTCCAGTCATTGTTGGCTGCTTCTACTAACCAAGTTGGGTAGTTGTTTTCCCAATCAATGTCATTAACTAGCTGTGTTGCAAATTTTGCTAGCCTATGACTTCCTACATTAGCTGATCTAGACACAAATGAAACTGTGCACTGTTCAAAACCTTTCATTAGGTCCTCAATATCTTCTCGAACGGTTGCTAAGTGATCGTCCTGGACATTGTTGCTGAAGATCATGTCAACTACTGCTTTACAATTTGACAGCACTTCTATCTTTTCCCATTTCGCTTGTCTTGCCATTTGAAGAGCCATTCTAATAGCTAGTGTTTCTTCCATTAGTGCCTGTCCCTGCTTTAACTCCCTTACTCCTCTAGCTCTCAAAATCTCCCCTGTCAATTTCCTTGCTATTATCCCCTTTCCCGTTCTGATCAAATTTGAATTTATTGCCGCATCTGTATTGATTCTGATGACACCTTCCTATGGTGGATCTCTCATTCTTCCTTGCTGGACAACCCGTTCTTCTCCCACATGTTCCTTGCTTTGTTGTCCTGTAGCCTCTTCATATTCAGCCCATTCTTGTTGTGCCTTCCCAATAATCTCTCTTGCCTCTCATTTTTTTTGTTCAAAATGGGTCCTATTCCTTGTTTTCCATATTTGCCAAAGTATGTTGGCAGTTAGGTTGATTCTTTCTTTTCCATTTGCCACTGCCTCTGCCTGATTCACTGCTTCCCACCATCTCCACATATTATTTTAAAGATCATGCAGTCCTTCCCATCTCACTGGTGCTATTTTCCATACAGTTTGGGCTATCGGGTAGTGGAAAAACATGTGCTCCATTGTTTCAACTCCCTCTCCACAGACACTGCAAATTCTGTCCCCCTTCCCTGTTCTATTAAAGACAGTCTCTTTGGTAGCTAAACTATTCTGTAGACTCCTCCAAATGAAAAGTTTCAGCTTGTGCTTTAAGTTCAGCTTCCAGAGATGCTTCCATATGCTATGCTTCCTGATTTCCCAATTTGTTTCCTCTCCTGCACTTTTTCTCCTCTTATCTCCTTTCTTATCTTTCAGTACATTTGCATAGGCTGTCTTCACCGTGTACACACCGGATTTTGAGAAGCTCCAGAATAGCCTATCCTTTCTTTTGAAACAACTAAGTTGCATGCTGAGTATCTGAACTATATCCTCTGGATTGAATATTTGTTGTAGAATTTCTGCATTCCATCTTCCATCTTTAATTAACTGATTTACAGTTTGAATCTGGCAATTTAGAGGACAGCTTGTGGATACCTTGCCTGTACATGAACCCATAATCCACCTATCCTTCCATATGTTTATCTGACAACCATCTCCTACTCTTTTCCACAGACCTCTTTGTACCAGTCTCCGTGCACTGTGAATGCTTTTCCACGTCCATGATGCTGATTGGGGGGGGGATTACTATCTAGAGCATTTGGGGCCTGTAAATACTTAGCTCTGAGCACCTTACTCATCAGTAGATTTGGAGAGGTAATAATTCTCCAAAGCTGCTTGGCAAGTAAGGCTTCATTAAATGCTTCCAAATCTCTAAACCCCAGTCCCCCCTTTCCTTTTACTTCTGATAATTTCTTCCAGCTTATCCAATGCATATTCCTATCTTGTTGTGAGCCTCCCCACCAGAAGTTCGCAATACCCCTGCATATATCCCTACATAGTCCCTTAGGCAATTTGAAGCAAGCCATAGCATAATTGGGCATCGCTTGGATCACTGACTTAATTAACACTTCCTTTCCAGCTGAGCTCAACATTTTGTTTTTCCAGCCTTTCATTTTATTCATGACTGAGCTCTTGATATACCCAAACACTTGATTTTTTGATCTTCCTATAGCCATTGGTAGACCCAAGTATCTGCCACTCCCTGCTTCCCTCATGCTGCCTAGCTCTTGACACACTTTTTCTCTGACATTTGAGGGAGTATTCCTACTAAAATACACGGCTAATTTTTCAAAATTTACCATTTGACCAAACATTTTGGTGTACTCCAGTAAAATATCTTCACCTGCTTGGCCTCCTGGACAGTTGCTTTGTTGCATATTAACGAATCATCTGCAAAGAATAAATGCGAGATTTGGGGGTTGCTTTTGCTGGTTTTGATTCCTGTGACATTCCCCTGGCTAATCTCCCTGTTGATCATATGAGATAATCCCTCTGCACAAATAAAAAAAAGGTAAGGAGAAAGGAGGTCTCCTTGTCTTAGCCCTCTACTGGCTTTGATGTATCCCACCCTTTCTCCGTTCAGGTTAAAAGAATAAGATACAGATGAAACAGAGGATATGATCCAACGAACAAAAATAGGACAGAATCCCATGCGCATCATCATCATCCATACAAACTGCCATTCAACCCTATCATAAGTTTTAGACATATCTAACTACAGGGCTATAAAACCTACTTTTCCTTTCCTCTTATTTTTAAGGTAATGCATGACTTCATGAGCAATAAGCACATTATCCATTATCTACCTGCCAGGGACAAAGGCAGATTGAGATTCACTGATGCACCTATTAAGAACCATTTTCAGTCTGTTAGCCAGAACCTTAGAGATAATTTTATACATAGTGTTGCACAGACTGATAGGCCTATACTGAGTCAAGTTTAGAGGGTTATCTATCTTAGGGATCAAGGTTATAAGAGTATCATTAAAAGCTCTCAGCATATTTCCAGTATGGAAGAAACTGGTAATAGCATTCACCACATCAAGCCTGATTATATTCCAATACTTTTGGAAAAACAAAGGAGACATACCATCTGTGTCCGGAGATTTATTTGGATGCATAGAAAAGAGAGCTTTTTTTATCTCAGCTTCCTCCACTGGTTGTATCAGTCGCTCATTCATCTGTCTTGAGATAGTATTAGGAACATCTTGTGGTACTTCCACCTCCTCAGTGTTTTTGGTTGTGAGCATCTGTTGGTAATAGCTGCATATCTCCTCCTTCACTTCTTGATCTATACTACACCAGTTCCCATTATCTCGCTGCAATATTGTGATTTTGTTCCTCTTCCTCGTAGCCATCACACTTGCATGGAAGTAAGCTGTGTTCTTATCCCCCTCCTTCAGCCACCTGCATCTAGCTTTCTGACTCCAGTAGAGTTCCTCCTCCTTATATGCCTTGCTAAGCTTCAGCTTTAATTCTGCTATCTGGCCTCGTATTCCTTCTCCACTTGACTCTTTTATTTCCAGCAGCTTCTCCTTAATCTGTGTAATTTTCTTCCCAGAGTTCATCCTCAACTTTCTGTTCCATGCCAGCAGAGCCATTCTACATTCCTTTATCTTTCTCATCACTATGAACATCCTTGATCCTTTCTGTTCTATTCCCCATGTTGTCTCTATAATTCCTTTACTGTCCTCATTTCTTGCCCACCTTTGATCAAAATAGAATCTCTTTTTTGGTTTCCTTTGATTGGGGTTATTATCCAGAATAAGAATGTTATGGTCTGAGGCTTCAGTTTCTTGATGATGACAGATTGCTTTAGCAAAAAGTTGGTACCAGCCCACTGATCCTAAACATCTATCAAGCTTCTCTTTCACCTCACCATCTCTTTCCCATTGATTACACCACGTCCATGGTTTCCCTTCAAAATCTATGTCGACTAACTCATTTTCTTTGATAAACCTGTTAAACTCTCTGAAACTCCCCTCTGGTCTTACCCTCCCCCCATTTTTCTTTTCCTGATTTGATGTCATTAAAGTCACCCACTAAAATCCAGTGATCCCCCCATTCCTGTTTTTTTTTTGTTCTATTTTCTTCCATTGCTCTTTTCTGGTGTTCTCCTCAGTACTAGCATACACCCCTACCAACCATCATTCGCTCTTCGCCTCAAGATCCTTTATTTTTGTCTCTATGAAGAAATTTCCATGTCTGATAATATCCACCTGCACCTCTTCTTTCCAGAAAAAAGCCAAGCCACCTGCCCTTCCAACCGAGTCTACAGCATAGCAATGATCAAATTTTATCTGTCTCTTTACTTTTTCCATAACTATTTTTTGGGTTTTTGTCTCACATAAGAAAACAATACTTGGAAAGTGGAGATTTATCATCTCCTTCAACTGGGAAATTGTCAAGGGTCCTCCCACACCTCGACAATTCCACAACAGCACCTTCATTTCCATTGAGGAGGCCTTATGGGGATAGCCTCCCATTCCCCTTCTTTTTTGCTTAGTTGAACCTCCTTCTTGATTAATTTCTGTAAAGGTTCCTCCCAATCATCCTCTTCCATTGGTTCCCCCTCATCTTTTTCCTCCCTCTTCTTTCTTTTTCCTCCTTATACCACTTCCTGTATGTTTGTCTTCAATTCTCCTAATGGCGTTCTTTTTATTCTGTGGAAAGCCCTTTGTTGTTTTCTTTTTTCCTCCCTCCCTGGACCAGATCTTAGAGTCAACTTTCCTTGATCCTTTCCCTCCTTGTTCTCCTTCTTATTGTTCCTTTGGCTAGGTGGGCTAGGGTTTTCAGTACTGACCTCATGAACCAGCTCCTCCATATCCATATTTGATATTAGGAATAAGCAATTATTTCTTGTTATTACTTGGGTGTTGGTCAAATAATGTATCTTATTAATAGATGGAGGTTGGCATACTACAAAATAGCGCATAAGGACGACATGCCCCTTATATATGGGGGAGAGAGAG